ACACGATGATAGCTCAAATATGTACATATAGTTTTATGATAAGGCAACACGGTGATAGCTCAAATATGTACATATAGTGTTATGATAAGGCAACACGATGATAGCTCAAATATGTACATATAGTTTTATGATAAGGCAACACGATGATAGCTCAAATACGTACATATAGTTTTATGATAAGGCAACACGATGATAGCTCAAATACGTACATATAGTGTTATGATAAGGCAACACTGTTATAGTGAACTTTATGTTTGGAAATATAATTTGCAACTTTTCGTTGTGTTTACTCTGTGATGTTTAACAAAATCAGGGTAGTGAAATAAACAGTGTGGTATTAGTATTTTCAATCTGAGCAGCATCATATGAGCACATGGGCTAAACGGTCAGGCCAGATGTCACTAGCGTTTAGGTGTAGCAGTCCCTAATGATGAGCTATTGACCAGAGAGAGAGAGAGCGAAAAGGCAGCTAGTCAATAGCACCAGTCACCATAAGAGCTTTGTATGACTTGAACAGAAAAACGGAAATGTCTCTCACTCTTGTAATGCATCCAGAAATGAAAGTACGGAACATTTTCAGCGGCATCGCGGTGCAAACCTTGGACCTTCATTCCCGACACACTAACGGCTAAGAAATATAGAAATAGCAGGATTTAACTTTCTATTTGTTTCTGTATATCAGATTTAACTATCTGTTTGTGTTCTTCATGAAAAGATTATATAGCGTTAAGTTTAACAATTAACTCTGATTCTACAACGCTTTGGGGACGAAAATAAAGTCTGTAGATCGGACGTATTTGACTGTTATTATCACAAGTACTGTTCTCATAACATAAACTAACAAGTACAGATTCTGAACTGAGAGTGCATTAAGCCTACCAGGTGCTGGTTTAGACCATACAAAACTCACTTTGGTTGTGTTTTGATATTTCTGGTCTTTTGTGTTTATGAAATGGGGACTGCACAATAGCCCGAGAGAGGGGGATTCTGGACGACATTTTGTTACTGTTTTCTATATAAAGACGCGTCCCACAGAGCTTATTAAACTACAAAAGTTTAGACTTTTTTTTTCCTCCCAAGAACAGATGGCGTGTTACCGTATTGCACCAGTTTTAAATCCTCTTGTTTGCTTCTAAAATCCAACTAGTGCTGTATTTTTCCAAACCTAGGGTAACGCTCTATAATGTAAGAATGCCAAATACCTTACTGTCTACAGAAAATTGTATTGTATTTGCAAACATTTTCAGAGAGTTTAAAGTAGTATGTTAAAAAAATCTAAACTGTCTTTTTTACCACTTTAATTCTCTATTCCGTAGATATAATAGAATGGATAAAAATACAACTAGTTTGTTACTGTAAAACATCAGTTCACAAGAGTGCTGTATTCAAATTCTATTAATATCACGATTAGTTTGCTAAACTGCCGAACCCAAGCTCTCTGTAACTTAAAAGAAAAAACTTTAATGGGTTGCAATATCCAGACTTCGAGGTACGACTTCGCTGTCGTATCCACTCTGATGTTCGTTGCAGTAAAACGTAGTTCGCTGGCTTCTTTATCCAGACCATTTAGAACGAAGTGCATAAAGAAAGTTAATTTATACCTAAGCTAACTTTCAGTTTTTTCACCTTTTTAAAACAATCATTTATCCGAATTTATTCAATCGTACGCTACCGGTTTGTGTTAATCACCTGTAACAGGTACATATCCCGCTACCGGTTTGTGTTAATCACCTATAACAGGTAAATATCTCGCTACCGGTTTGTGTTAATCACCTATAACAGGTAGATATCCCGCTACCGGTTTGTATTAATCACCTACAACAGGTAAATATACCGCTCATGGCCAGGTGGTTAGGACGTTCGACTCGCAATCTGCGGGTCTCGGGTTCGCATCCCCATCCCACCAAACATGCTCGCCCTTTCAGCCGTGAGGGCGTTATAATGTGACGGTCAATCCTACTATTCGTTGGTAAAAGAGTAGCCCAAGAGTTGGCGGTGGGTGGTGATGACTAGCTGCCTTCCCTCTAGTCTTACACTGCTAAATTAGGGACGGCTAGCGCAGATAGCCCTCGTGTAGCTTTGCGCGAAATTCAAAACAAACAAACAAATATCCCGCTACCGGTTTGTGTTAATCACCTATAACAGGTAAATATCCCGCTACCGGTTTGTGTTAATCACCTATAACAGGTAAATATCCCGCTACCGGTTTGTGTTAATCACCTATAACAGGTAAATATCCCGCTACCGGTTTGTGTTAATCAATTATACCTAGTAAATAGCCCGATAGCGATTTGTGTTAATCCCCTACAACAGGTAAATATCCCGCTACCGGTTTGTGTTAATCACCTACAACAGGTAAATAGCCCGATAGCGGTTTGTGTTAATCAATTATACCTGGTAAATATACCGATACCGGCTTGTGTTAATCACCTATACATGGTAAATATACTAATACCGACTTGTGTTAATCACCTATACATGGTAAATATACTGATACCGGCTTGTGTTAATCACCTATACATGGTAAATATACTAATACCGGCTTGTGTTAATCACCTATACCTGGCAAATATCCCATTACTGGCTTGTGTTAACCACTTATACCTGATAAATATCCAGGTACCGTTTGGGCTAACTCTATACAGGAGTTTTCTCCCTAATGACCGATGACCACACTCCTTTTTGTTAAATGGTACCCTATTGGTCAGATTCTGTTGAAGAGGGGCATGAGGTTAACGTTTTATACAAGGCTGTACCTATATATATATATAATTATTTAATGGAAAGCTATAAAATGTATAACTTGAAAGTTCGGTTTTTCACAGAAAATAAAGTTTCATCCAAACAAAAACATGACATGCATGTGTATGAAAAAGACTCAACGATATTGGTTCATTATCTAACGCTATATTATATAGAAGATATCCCTTTTGATCCAGATAAGCTAGATTTTTTATGTATAATAATTAGTTGAAATAGCCTCTTTGGGAAAGTGAATATAAAAATAACTGCTGTATGCGTGACAAAATATGGTTAAAATCAATAACTATAAGACATAACATAGTTCTTCTTCCTGCTCAACACTTTAAACATTTATTTGTACTAAAGAAGACGAGGTCACAAACATTTTTAGAAAACAACTACAACCTTTCTCAAAGTGACGTTCCGTGTTCCTGTGGCAGTTACACAATGTAGTTCTTTCACTCCTAAAAATAGCTCCAAGTCTCCTCATTCAGGTTCTCTCTACTCATTGAATTCTCGCATCAGAGTCGTTCTATGTTTATCTGAATAGAGCTGTTGTAGTTCAGAACCGCCTTCGACCAGAATCTGACGTATAAAACACGATCTTTGACAAGAATCTGACGTATAAAACACGATCTTTGACAAGAACCTGACGTATAAAACACGATCTTTGACCAGAACCTGACGTATGCAACGTGATCTTTCACCAGAACCAGGCATATGAAACATGAACTGCTCATAAGTTGTGAAAAATATTGTAGAACCTTATACATTTCTTAAATTAAAATTAAATTACTGTTCGTTGAATTTTATCTAGAAACCGAAACAATGGAAAAGACTCTTGATATTCAGTGGGAGTAAATATAGATTAAAGGTTTACTTGATAGATATTTTTAATATAAAGTTAGCAATCATTTCGAATGTGCTCTGCATAATTTATTGATTTCACTAATCTGTTTCTTATTTTTACAGTGAAAGCTATCAAGGATGATTTCCACCTTCTTTATTCTCTTAACAATAACGACATCTCCTGGTTTATTTCACACCGATTTCACGGAAAATGAAGTGAAGATACACCGTATTCAGAATGACCCGTAAGTTTAAGATTTTTTGTTGTTGTCTATTTTGAATAGTTGTTTGGACAAAATGCTTCGACGTTCGCATTATAAGGCATATGTCCTTTAGATCTGGGATGTAGATCCACTTAAATCTCGTCCCCACCGTGTTTGATTAGGAATAATCCACCTACTTCCAATCGTATTGTCAGCCTTTATAGAAAAATAAGCGAAACTTCTCACGCCTGATTGAATTAATAAAAAGCAACACTCACTTATCTGTTATATGTTTTGATGTGGTTTCCAAGGAGTTTGGGGATATATATTTTGAACCCATTTTTTTGCATCTCTAGAAATCTAATCTGGTCATCTTAGTTAAAGGGCTAACTCCCTAGCAAATTTTTAAAAGGCAAAACTGTTACAAAGTATTTTACAATCAGTTTGTTTGTTTGTAATTAAGCACAAAGCTACACAATGGGCTATCTGTACTCTGCCCACCACGGATATCGAAACCCGGATTCCAGTGTTGTAAGTCCGCAGACATACCGCTGTGCCACTGGGGGCTTTACAACCAGAATATAATGATTTAACTTACAAAAGCCGTTATTAAATGTGTCGGACTATGAATCATAGGGTCCACGGTTCGCGTCTAATTTCTGCAAAATCGCGCTTGCGTGTTAAGGCTGTGGGGTCAAATCCAGATATTTTATAGAGTGACGGTGGGTGCTGCTGACTAGTTGCGTTCCCTTTAGTCCATAAGTTCGAAATGAGGGACAGCTAGCACAGATACCCCTTGTACAACTTTTCATGAACATTCAAAACAAACAGGCAGTTGGTAAAGCCCCTCGTCTATGTCACATTATTTAAAACGGGCTAGTTAATGTTTGGATATACCGGTGTTGACTTCCTATAAAACAGAGGATTTAATAAAAAAATGTACTGGCGTTGACTTCCTTTAAAAAGGGGGATTTAATAATGAAATGTACTAGCGTTGACTTCCTTTAAAAAGGGGAATTTGTTACTGGGATGTACTGCTGTTGACTTCCTTTAAAAAGGAGGATTTGATACTGGGATGTACTGGTGTTGACTTCCTTCCTCCTTTTCTGAAATGTTTAAGGCCCAATTATAAAACAAGAATGCCAGACATGGCCAGGTAGTTAGTATGTCTGAATTATGAATCCGAGGATTCATGGCTCACAACCCGTTGCCGTAAAAAAACCGTGCTCCGCACTTTGGGAGCGTGGATGCACTCTAACATTAATCTCACTATTCGATCAAACAAGAGTAGCTCAAGAGAAGGTGTTGAGTACTACTGACGATCAAACAAGAGTAGCTCAAGAGAAGGTGTTGAGTACTGCTGACGATCAAACAAGAGTAGCTCAAGAGAAGGTGTTGAGTACTGCTGACGATCAAACAAGAGTAGCTCAAGAGAAGGTGATGAGTACTGCTGACGATCAAACAAGAGTAGCTCAAGAGAAGGTGTTGAGTACTACTGACGATCAAACAAGAGTAGCTCAAGAAAAGGTGATGAGTGCTGCTGACTAACTGCCTTTCCTACAGTTCAATATTAGGGACGGCTGTGCACAGATAGCCATTGTTCAGCTTTGCGCAAAAATTCTGAAACAAACTTATTATGATGTAAGAGCTACATCATCGCAGTTCCCTAACTTCTCCAGTTACATTTGTAGCACAGGGAGCGGCCGAAGCTGCAAACTTCGGTTAACCAGAAAAAAAAGAAACAAAGCGAAGTTCGTTAAAACTTTCTCACAATAATTAGACAACAGCCAGATGAAAGTCGTGAAAATAAAACAAAACGACAACACTTTCTGAAAAAATGAAATTGGACATACATGTATATTCACAGGCATACAAATGTATTTTCGCAAAAAAAAATCTCTATATAATTTCTTCTTCAGCTGTGTTAGATACCTTTCTAATGTACGAAAGATTATATATATATATATATATATATAATGTGTATGTAATAACGAGAGAGAGAGAGAGAATGTGTTAGTGACGGATAGAGGGAAGGCAGCTAGTCAACACCGCCAACTATTGGGCTAATCTTTTACCAACGAAAAAGCCCGGCATGGCCAGGTGGTTAGGGCACTCGACTCGCAATCTGAGGGTCGCGGGTTCGAATCCCCGTCCCACCAAACATGCTCTCCCTTTCAGCTGTGGTGGCGTTATAACGTGACGGTCAATCCCACTATTCGTTG